GAAAAGAGAAGAAAAAAAAAAGATAATACCAAGAGTTATCCAATTTCGAATAACGTAGTCCTCTATCAGACCAATAACCAATAACGTAGTCCTCTATCAGAAAATACCTATCTGGAAGCCCGAGTTTTGAATTTCAAATTTGTTCCATTATTTATTTCATATTTTGTAAAACTTTAATGAATTTGTGATCTACAAACTCAATGATTTTAAAACGAGCAGTGGCAACACTTTCGAAATAAAACACGTTTATATCCAGCGCGAAGACTGTTGCCATTAAAAAAATGTAGGATATTCATCTTTGAATTTTAATTAACAAACTCGGCTGTATGAAAACAATATGTTGCAGTGGTCGGGAATAAAATATTTTTATTTTCCGCGCGGCAGCGTGTTGCCATTCAGTAAAGATACTTTAAAATTTAATCTGGAAGGTTACTGAGTAATAAACTAAGCGATTTAAAAGCACCTTAACACTGCTTAGGAACTATGTTTATTGCTTCTTAATTACTTAGTTTTTTTCTACTTTTTAATATGACTGTTTAAATTTAAGTTGTATTATAAGGATTTCTAACTAGAAGAATTCAATACTTTTATGAAATTACGCTAGATTCATTAAAATTCATTATATACTTTTTCTTTTTTTAAGGTAACTATTTTAGCCGGCTGCCCAGGCGAGCGGTTAGTTTTTAAAGAACTAATATAACGAATATAAAAATATGCATGCAAACTCTAACACTCACTATTTTAAAATATTTTGTGATCTTGCTGTTGAACTAAATTTAATGTGGCGTAAATGCGAAGAACGTAATATCTAATAAATAAAATTAGTACATAAAAAGTTAATAACAAAAAGGCAAAAATAAAAAGGCTAAAAAAAAAATTGTTAGCCATCTTACTAAGAACCGTTATTGCCTGACAGTGTGAAGGTTGTGTCACTGATTGTTCCAGCGTGTTTATAGTAGACCTTTGCCGACTGTAAAAGTGTTTTGGAGCTGCCCTGATTAATACTGGTAAATAAAGTGTGTTTTGATATTCCATCAAGTAGTGTTGCCATTATTCACTCCAAATCCCCGCAAACCCCATACGAACATGAAAAAAGAAAATAATGTACGAATTAGTGTCAGGAAGAAAAAAACACAACAACTGGTGTCAGAAGCAGGATTCACAAGTGAATGCCATTGATCCACCTGAAAAAAAAAAAAAAGCCATGGCAGAGGAAACGAAGACTTTGATGGACTTCTTAGCCGAGATGAGCGCTGAGATGAAAGCTGAAATGAAAGCCGGATATCAGGAGATGAGAGCTGAAATGAAACCCAGATATCAAGAGATGAAGGCTGAGTTAAAAGCCGGTCTGGAAGAGAAGAACGCCGAACAAGAAGAAATAAATGTCGGCCAAGAAAAGGTGTGAAAGCAACACCCACAGATGAAAGTGGAGCTTACAGAAGAAACTAGAGCCATAAAAGATGATGTGAAAATGACTGAAGTCGCGTCTGAATTATCAAAGGATGAAGAAATGAAGAAAGTAGCTAATGAACTGTCTGAGGAAGATCAAGAAATGAAGGATGAAACATTTAACGGGATTAAAGGAAAAGAACGAAAACATGGAGAAATAAAAGATGAGAAAGAAGCTTTTGATTCTCAAGTGCTTGAAGTGGAAGAAAGTGAAAATGCGACTGTTAAGTTCGTCAAAACTCATAGTGAAGTTACGAAGTCGCAAGCAGTACGTGTTGAACCATCTGAAAGTGCATGTGATGCTGAGATGGGAGAAGCTGATGTGCAGCTTAAGCAGTGTACTCCAGTACTGCAGGAAAATTCATCCACTTCACAAACTGGGTTTGTGCCTCATGGTGCAGGGTTAGCAGACAAGGACTTTATTCTAAACCTGGATACTTCTGCTTGTAAAGGATTGGATTTTATTCATGACCTTGGTGCAAACATTGGAACTGGCTTTCAGGAAATAGAGGTAAATGAACATGTACCAGCTGCTGAAAATACTGAGGAGAACTGTACATATGATGAAAAAAAACTACAGAGCGGTGAACAAAATGTCTCAGATCTTCCTGTGGATGAAAGTTCTGAAAAGACTGAATCTTCACTGTGATCTAAAAAACAGGAATACATCTGAGAATTGCAGTGGAAAAGTGTTTGACCCGGGTATCACTTAATGAAAAGACTGAGATTGAAATTCCTTATGAACTTTAATTTGTATAATTTAAAATTATAATGTGTTTAATTTGTGTATGTAACTTGTACATAGTGTAAATATCTGTTTCTTTAGTTATGTTATTTATTTATACCATATGTTTGTTTGTATCGAATTAGACTTCTGACCAAGGTTTGTACTGCCCAGGACATTCAGTCCTTGGGAGGGGGCAGTGTTACGAAATGTACAGGTGCAGTGAGATAGCTTCTCCGCAAAGCAGTTTTAGGGTTACCATAAAATAGCAAGGGAAGACAGGGTTGCCACATTTGGCGACAGAATTGGCAATGTACCATGGACAGTTGGAGAACCTTATGGAACGAATTTTTACCGGTTTAGCCTCGAATGTTCTCGAACACAAGCTGAAAGTTATATAAACCCTGCTGGCCCGCAGTCAGTAGTATGTGCCTCGTCTAGTGAGCTGATAGTCAGTCATTGAGTGAGTGTTTCGAAGTCTAGCGCCAAGTTGGTAGTCGAGTACATCAAAGAGCCTCTTAGTGTATCGCGGTTAGTGCATCGTCGAGAGCGTGTGTTAAGCTCCGGGAACGACTGAACCGAAGAGTCAGGAGCTGTGCTCTACGTGCCGTCGAGTTTTGTCTTAGACTGTGCTGAGTCAAGAGCTATACTCTTGTGTATTGTCGAGAGCATCATGAGCTGTAGCGTGGAGAGTTTTGAGAGTACGTGGAGTTCTGAGAACGACCGAGCAGAGTCGGGAGCTGTACTCTGGTGCTTTGCAGTGAAGCTGTCTTCACCGTTATTGCCTGACAGTGTGAAGGCTGTGTCGCTATTGTTCCAGCTTGTTTATAGTAGACCTTCGATGACTGTAAAAGTGTTTTAAAGCTGTCCTGATTAATATTGGTAAATAAAATGTGTTTTGATACTTCATCAAGTGTCATCGTTATTCACTCCAAATCCACACAAACCTTGCACAAACATGAAGGAAGAAAATAACGTAACAACTGGTGTCAGAAAAGAAAAAACACAACAATATATAAAAAGAACCCTTCCTGTAAATAGATCACGATTTCGAACTTGTACAGTATAATGCCCAATTTTTAGGTAAAGTATATTAAAATTCAAAATAATGTGCATTGTAGAGTCAAATTCAAAAAAATTTTAGTTCCGAAGTAATATGTAGAAATCCTTTTTAAGAAATTTTTTCAATATGGAAAGAAAGTATCAAAATTTTTATTAAGTGCATATATCCACGGAAGTTTTTCTGTTTGCGCAGCGATCAAAATATTGAAGTCCTAAATTATACAGAAAATTACACTTGAATCAACTTAGTCTGTCCATTTTATATTTCTGTGCCATAGTTGGTAACTTAAGCACATTTCTGACTTTGGGTCCATTAAATGGTGAACTGGATTTCTTTGAAGTTTTCACATTCATAAACATATTTAGTATTTTTAGTTAATGACATTAATTAGTTTTAACCCAGCACTTTCCAATTCTTAAAAAAAAAAAAAAAAAAAAAAAAAAAAAAAAAAAAAACACCACCCATTACTATTTTTGTTAACAGATAGCTCTATGTCTGTGCTCACTTTGCTTTAATCATTTGTTTGATAAAAAAAGTGACTGGAATTTAGAATACAGATATTTGAACAGTACTGCAATGCTGATCCTTGGATTCGATACTACAGTCAAAAGTCGTTGATCCGGACTCGTCGGGACTTCGGCGATTCCGGATTATAGATCATCAGTTTAAATCGCGTAAGATGGCATGCAGAAATTCTAAAATTAAAAATATGAAACCGTAATTTATGAAATAAAGAACAATTATGATCTAAAGGGTATCAAAATTTTACCAAAAAAAAAAAGCTCAATATTTATTTGTTTACTTTATTAAACATTCTTTAATGTAAGTTGTTTCGTTTTATGTGATAATACTTTCTCTTTAATTCTATAAACAGACATAATTTTTATGTCCTTACAAAGTTCCACTGGTCAAGTCTGTTAATTGCTGTGCCGAGAATACCAACTAACTTGTCAATCGAAACTTTTTCGTTTTACTAACCTCTCTGTCACATTCTTCTGTCTTTATCCATTTTTTGCAGCAATTCCACTTTTTGTTTGATGGACATCGAACAACTTTCGTTTTGTACGATCCTTTGGGAGCTCCAGAATCAAAAATTCTATTTGAATAATCGAAAGTTCAAGTTTACTTTTTTAGTATTGCTCTTACAGTCTGCAAAAAATAATAAGCCGGATCCAATTTGAAAATTAAGGAACAATGCAATCATCAACATTAACTGAAATAAATAATTAGAGCTTACACCGTCCGTTATACATAAAACGCGCATGTGAAAATGTATTCTGCGCTTGCGTACACGCAAATGCACAGTCGTAAGAGGTCTTATGTGCACGCGTAAACGCCTATGCGCATGTGTCAACGCGGAGCATGCGCAGAAGCTTTTAGCTTTGAGGTCCGGATTATAGATCATTTCGAATTATGGGTGTCCGAATTAACGACTTTTGACTGTATAAAGAAAAAATTCACTTATTTTATATATTTGAGTGGAAAGCATTTATTCCACTATACAAGCGAAAAGCATTTCAGTTCGTAATTTTTAAGAACTACTGACTATAATAAAATAGCACGAGAATATTTAAATTAAATTTTGAACATCAAAATTGCACTTAAAGTTTTGAGTACAACTATGCCTTATAATTTCTTCAATATGGGGGGGGGATGTTGGAAATTCACTTAGATCAAATGTGTAATGTTTGTTCAAATTTTGATAACAAAAAATTGTAAATTTTATATTGATACAAGTAAAATTTAAAAAATGTTTGCTAAAAGTCTGCATGGATTAAAAACTTTAATTATAAGCTATCAAAAATACATTACATGACATGAAATCTAAAACATTTAGTGATACACAGTTTCACTTTAAAACAAGTGAGTATGATACCGTTCATGAATCCACAAAATATGAAATCCAAATTTCTTAGATGAGATCATCAACTGAAATGAAAGACAAAATCAGAAATTTATCATTTTATATTGCACAAAGAAAAGCATCTTCCAAAACAAAGCACCTAATTGCCAAAACACAGCTGCTTGCCACACAAAACAAAAATCATTATGAAAACTTTGATAAAGTCATGTTTTAAAACAATTGCACATATGACATGCCTATATTATTTCACATAAAATCAAACTATATGCATTTTTTCACTTGCATGTAAAAGAGGTTTAAGGCCATCATCTGTAAAACAAACTTCTACAGAAAATTAATATTATTCAATTAATCATTCACATTTTGTGTGAATTTAATGTATTTCATTTAACAAACTTGACAGCTTAAAAGCAATCTGCTGCCACTTGGGAAAGAACAATTTATATTGGAAATTTAACCAGAAAAGAAATATGCTTCTGCTCACTGCAGCATAACAGATTTATGTTTCAAATTTAATCAGAAATCACTGATTTAACAGAAATGTGCTGCCACCACTCTAAATAAATATTTTTATCTTTCACATACAAGTGTCTTGTCATTCAGAAAAGTGTAAGATATTCTTCTTCAAATTCAATCTTTTTTTACTGTTACTGCCACTATATTACTGTTTTTGCTCATAGTTTGGAGATCAGGAGATTAGATCATTTCAGATATTGGATGTCTAGACTTAGCACTGTGCTTTTAAATCCTCTACTTAAATCATTTAAAAAAAAAGTGACAGCTGTACATCTTTTTGTTTACTGTTGACTGTTATCAAAATGCAAGAGTGACATAAACAAAACAATTGTTCTTTGTATTTTAAAGTTTTTTTTACTTGATGATTTAATGGCTTTAAAACCAAATGAGCTTGTGTTCTAAATCAAAGTCCTTAAAAATATACGCAAATTGTCAATAGTATCTTTTCGTTAGTTATAGCATGGGTTATTTCTTCTGTTGTTATTTTTTAATTAATGCCATATTAATTGTGACTTAGGTCTCTGGTATTACTCCACTTAATCAGAGTCTACTGTATAATCTTTAAAAGTTTATTAATTTTAAGGACTACTTATTGTTGCTAGATAGCAACTAGATTTTTATCAAGGTATGAAACTAAATATACTGAATTTATGAAAAATTACAAATTTACATATTACCTACAGCAGTTTGTTAAAAATAATCAGTCACATGTAATTATGTTTTTAACCCAATATCTAAACCACATAAAGCCATATTTTTATATATATTAATAAAAACTGACATTTCAGACCTGTGTTTTAAGGAATAACTCAGACACAGTTTTGCAGCAATTGTAAAAAACCTGAATGATACCGAAGAGCTAAGTTTTGATCCAGCCCAACTCAATTTTAGATCCATAATATATACAACTAAACAACAAATACAAACAAATTCATAATACACAACCTACAAAAAATCCTACTTTGAGTGTTACAGTAATTTATTTGAGTAATCTTCTCCAACTTCTCAGCTCAGATAGAATTAAACATACTTGTTAACTATTTTTTTTTTAATATAATTTTTTATTTTAAATGATATTGAATGAACAAATGAAAGTTCTGCTGCTTCCTTTCAAATACTAATTTTAACTGTTCAGCTATAAATATTAGTAAATAACTTATGCAATTAACATGAGTGATTTAGACTCCATTTCAAACAATCTTAGAAACTACAGTGGACTAAAAATCCAACATAATTTCAAATAATTCAGAATGCTAAAATGAAACATACATACATACACACATTTTTAAACAATTTCATTTGAGAAGCAAAATATATCACTTTTCTTAATTTATTAAAAATTATTTGTTTCACTACGTCATTTTTCACAACTGCCTACCTTTTCATTTTCTCAACAATTTAAAAAATAATTGTTAAGTTTAAATTGCTCTCTTTTTTTTAATAGGGGAGTTTTGATTACTGGAAACTGCTGTGTCAATATTTTTCTTTGCCAACAACTGAAAGTTCAGTGATGTATTTTCACACTCTGGCTTTTCACTCAATCTTTTAAATATCAGATTAGAATTTCAAGTATGCATATTAACACGTAATGGTGATGAGGAACCATTAGAAGAAAAATAATGGTTCACTGAATATAAGGAATTTTGGCTGCAAAATTGCAAATGAAATTATTGCATTTCACTTGCGGTTTTGCAGCTGAGGATGGTGGTTCGGTAAAACCATCGAAACTAGTCCTGTGATAATTTTGAAAATTAACGCTGATTTTTGTTGTTTGACTTCTGAATTAGTACTTATTCAGCGTGTTATTGTGTCTTAACCTTCTATTTCTTTGTGATATACGTCCATTGTTCCATTTGCTTATAAAATAGGCCTATCTCATCTGCACTGAAAATTTATTGCAGAATGTTACAAAATAATAATAAAAAAAGTGGTCAACGAATTTCAAAAACTGGGAGTTTCAATTTTCTATTAAAAAAATTAAGCTTTGCTTCATATAGTAGCAGCATCCCCACTTACTTGATTGTCAGTAAAAGCTATTAATATTTCCACCTTTTTTTTTTTTTTTTAACAATCATGCAATTCTTGAAACTTAAGCAACCTCTGCTGACATTTTGTCTGATCTTTTAACAGCAGACTAAACCTATTCTTCAGTTTCCTGTAGTGTTTTTATGTTTGATTCACTTATTGAGATTCAATTAAGCATATGCCAAAAACATTTAGTGCATCACGAGAGCAGGATGGTCACAGGAATGCAATGGCATTTGTGCAACAATCTTTTGCAGTGCCCTTATGGTTTGCTAAAGCATGATGAGAGGAACACCCCCTCGTAATTTTTTTTAGTGATTTAAAATAGTATTTTATGCCCTTAATTTCATATTTTTGTATTTTAAATAAATCACAAATCATCATCATGATCTTACGATGTACTGCATGCAGGTGAATCAATGAAGTATAAAATGTACATATACATTTCAAGGCTTATGAAATATAAAAAAGGCATTATTGATTAATTAAATATTTCTATCACCTCCTTTTTCTTACCAGTCTTTATTTTTACAATACTTTTATTTAATTGCTTAATTTTTAAGTTGCCAGAAATGAAAGAACTAGGAAGATGTGCCAGACAGACTATGCAGATGAAAAGTTCCCACCACAAGTTTTTGGCAACAAAATGTCGAAAAAGATAATAAAAATGTAAAAAATTCATTTTTGATATAAGCACACCAGAAATAAGAAAAATAGTCAATAACTATATAACATTATTCAACACAATTTTAATAAGTCGCCATACAAAACACAATCTCACCAAAAGTGCACGGCTATCATTGAAAGACAAAAATTGCAAAATTTGTCAGATGATGAAACTGGCACATCTGTACTTAGAGATAAATTCTTCAGTGGATGCATATGTTTTCTAATTAATATATCTAGTGTGCTCAATTTAAGTCAACTTCCAGTTTAGTCATGTATAAGCACATATATACTACAATAAGAAATAAGCATTCATGCTGCTGATTTTGGTACACTGTGTACAAAATCATGTAGAAGAGAGAGGAAAATGTCAGTGCACAGAATTTCATAAACACATCATGAATTTCATTTTACAGATTATAAATTAAAAGGACCACCAGATTAAGGTAAGATCTTTCAGTTGCTAGATTAAGCAATTAAAAGAGCAACTTTTGGCTTTTTAAAAGGGCCCCCTTTGCCCATTCCTAAATTAAAGGCGAGTTTTCCAGCAAGTGATGAAACAAATGGACCATTTATTAACTTATTTTTAACTTTAATTTTTCATCTTTCCTCTTAAATGTCATGCCGAATTCTTGAAGTAAAGGGAAAAAATACAAATGCAAAAGGAGAGCAGTAAAACGCTGATAAACACATGATACGCGATTACACACCAGCCATCAAAATTAAAGGATAGGGATTTAAAAAAAAAAAAAAAAAAAGGCAACTAATACTTAATGAAAAATTACTAATAGAAATTTGTCCAAAAGCATTAGTTTGGATAAATTACAATGTTTGACAGTTGATTATTCACAAAATATTGAAATTAAAACCAAATTTATAGAAAACGGAAAATGATGTAAAAATTAAGTGCTCTTTGTGGATTTTTTTTTCTTCTTTTAATATGGGGTACGGTCACCTCAGGACAAATATGCATACCTCACATCTTGATTTCCAAGACTTTACCAAAGTGTTGATCAGGTCTTGTGAAATTGCATGCCAGTCTTCTAAAAGTGCACTTTTCAGCTCCTGGAGGGTCCGGGGAGGAATTTAGCAACTAAAATTTGGTGCCCTAAGGCATCCCCCATATGCCCAATTGGGTTCAAGACGGAAGACTAAGGTGGCCAATCCATTCAAGTAATATCTTCTGTTTGCGAGTATTCTGAGACCATATATGTTCAATAAGGCTGAGCATTGACATCCATTAGCAAAAACTTTCAGCCAACAACACCTCTAAACAGTCTAACTTAGGATTCCAATAACCTCATCCACATATCTACGAGCAGTTACAGAACCTCCTAAATATGCAGCTTGGTGCAGCCATTTTTCATGATTCCTCCCCAAAAGATTAAGCCGCAGTGGTGGAAATGAGATATTTCACGGATAAGGGAAGGCAAGATGTATCATCCTTCCTCTCTCTAGATTAAAATACATCTCAAATCACTGTTCAGACTATATCTGGAACTCTGAATAAATAATACTTGGGCCCAGTCATCTTGGCTCCACTGAACATCACAAACAGCACCAGTTTAAAAGGGCCCCTGTGGAACTGGAGCGAGTGGGACACATACCATTGGTTTTCTGGCATGCAGTCCAACCTTGTTAAGCCTTTGTGCAGCAGCAGAATGGTAATCTGGATTCCTGTGTCAGCCTGAAGGTCTCGAACAAAATCTCTTGTAGTCGCTTAGCAGTTCCTTTGAGCCGACAATGACAGATAACAATTTTCTGATGCAGTTGCTGCTCTTGGTTGCCCTTGACCAGGCTGTCTATCAATTGATACAATGCTTAAAAAGCGGCTCCAAACTCTTGATATGACGCTTTG